TCCATGGGAACTGTACCATTTTACATTTTCCCTCCAATTATGCAGAAGGGTTCCAATTTCTTCACATTCTCTGCTATACTTGTCACTTTCTAGTCTTTTCATAATAGCTGTGCTAACGGACATGAGGCGATGATATCTGTTTTTATTAGCATTTCTCTAACCACCAGGAATGTTGAGCATCTATCCAAATATCTTCCATGGAGACATTTCTACTCAATTCCTTTGCCGAGTTTTTAATCTGGTTGTTTAGGGGTTTTGTTTATGTATTATTGGGGTTTGGAGCTCTTTACTTCTCCTAGAACGTAACCGCTTATTAGATGCATGATTTACAAATACTTTCTCCCATTCTGTAATTTTCCATTTCACTCTGCTGATTGTGTGCTGAAACACAGAAGTTTTTATTTACATATAGTCCAATTTATCAGTTTTTTACTTTTGTTGCCTGTGTATTTGGTGTCACATCCAAGAGAGGTTTTGCCCTGTATTTTCTTCTAAGAGTTTTAGCTTTTTAGATCTTCTGGATAGGTTTTTAATCCACTTTGAATTAATATTTATATGTAGTATAGGGTTAAAGTCCAATTTCAGTCTTTTGCTTGCAGATTTGAGAAGTCCGTCCTTTCCCCTGCTGAATGGTCTTGGCCCCCTTATTGAAAATCATTTAGCCATATGCGGGAGAGTTTATTTCTACATGGCCTATTGTATTCCATTGCTCTGTATGTCTGTCTCTTTGCCAGTACCACACTGTTTTAATTGTTGTGGGTTTAAAATAAAGAAGTGTGAGGCCTCTGGCTTTGGTGTTTTTTTTTTCCTCCAAAATTGTGTTGAATAATTGGGTTAATATTTAGCAATTTTTAAAAAAGATTTATTTATTTGAAAGACAGTTACAGAGAGAGGTAGAGACAGAGAGAGAGGTCTTCCCATCCGCTGGTTCACTCCTCAAATGGCCGCAACACCTGGAGCTGTGCCGATCCGAACCCAGGAGCCAGGAGTTTCTTCCCAGTCTCCCACATAGGTGCAGGGGCCCAAGGACTTGGGCCATCTTGTACTGCTTTCCCAGGCCATAGCAGAGAGCTGGATTGGAAGAGAAGCAGCAGCCAGGACTAGAACCAGTGCCGATATGGGATGCCTGTGCTTCAGGCCAGGGCTTTAACCCACTGAGCCACAGTGCCGGCCCCTAGCAATTTTTTAAGATCAAAATTCAGATTCCTGTCATCTTCAAAGCCTGCAGTATCTTCCAAAGACATACACAGTTCACAATTCTTACCAAGAGGACCTCAACCCTCTGCAGCACCTGTGAGCCACATCTGCCTCTCCACCATCACCTCTCAGCACCCTGTCCCATCCTGTACATGGTGCTGCAGCCCCACTAGCCTCCTTTGTGCTCTCTAGGTCATTCTTCCTGCCCCAAGGGCTTTTTACCCACACATCCATCTACCTGTTCATTCTGCACCCGCCTACTGAGTTCCTACTCTGTGTTGGGACCTTTTACAGGGATGGACAAATGCTCATGGCCGATGCCATCCCAGCTTTGAGCTGAAAGGCATTCCTCTTCACCTGGCGTGAATTGGTTCTCCTCCCCTCCCACATCCATCTTCCACCCTGGTTCTCTGCTTTCACTGCCTTCATGCCCTTACCTTAGTTCTTGTGTTGATCTCTACATTATCTGTCTCCTACACCAGACATTAAGCTCCAAAAACCAGAAGACACTCAGGGAAGACCCCATACACTTTGCTGGAAGAATAAAGTGAGTTTGTTAGTGATTTTCTCCGAGGACATTAAAGCTCCCTTTTTGAGAACAAAGAGGTCACTCCTGTTTCCAAGCAAAAAAATGGATGGGGATGTTGCTAAGTCACTGTTTGGAAAGCTGTGTTAAAGTTGTACTAGACACAAGTAACAGCACAACAGCCTTACTGTTTAAACCTTTGGCCAGGGGTTAAGATGCCAAGTTGCTATGCCAGCACCCCACATCAGAGTGCCTGGGTTTGAGTCCTATCTCCACTCCCAATTTCACCTTCTTGCTAATGCAGACCCTGGGAGGCAGCAGGTGATGACTCAAGAGGTTAAGTCTCTACCATCTACATGGGAGACTCAAACTGAGTTCCTGGCTCACACCTAGCCATTGTAGGCATTGGGGATATAAACTAATGAATGTGAGTGCTGTCTTGTACGTGTACTCTCTCACTTGCTCTCCCTCTCTCTCTCTCAAATAAAAATTAAAAATAAACACTAAAAGTGTCTTCTAAAATTGAAAAGCAATTTAATTGAGCAACATTTCTAAGGGCCCTAAATCCCCACCCTACCCCACCCCATCTTCTGATCTGACCCTTTTCAAGGAAATTTGGGAGAGTAAGCATCTAGCATTTTCAAAAAGGGAAGAAAAAATTTCCCCTGAAAGTCTAGGTTGTATTTTTGTTGTGGATGTTACCGGTTGCTTGAAAGTCACTGACAAAATGTAGAGTTTTCAGATTCCATTATTCTTCTGGACAAAACGCTCTAAAATGTGAGTCAATCCAGGTTTAGCTAAAAAGAGGGAATGCTTCTCAAAGAATCCCATTTTTGATGGTAATTTGATTAAATTTGGTCACTGAGATTATAATCCCCCAAATTAACAATGCACGTGTACCATACTCATGTTACCTGAATAAAAGAGATTTGTAAGGCAAAAGAAAAATTTTTAAACCACTTTCTTCCACTGGGTTTATAATTCAAAGTGTTTCCTCATAGTTAATCAGAGCAAATGGACACATATTTGTTGTTTTTTGTTTTTTTAGAAAGCTTTTGTTAATAAACATAAATTTCATAGGTACAGCTTTAGGAATATAGCAGTTCTTCCCCCCATACCCACCCTCTCACCCTGACTCCCATCCCACCTCCTACTCCCTCTCTCATCCCATTCTTCATTAAGATTCATTTTGAATTATTTTTATATACAGAAGATTAACTCTATACCAAGTAAAGATTTCAACAGGTTGCACCCACACAGAAACACAAAGAATAAAGTGCTGTTTGAAGATAAGTTTTACCATTTATTCTCATATTACAACTTATTAAGGACAGAGGTCCTACATGCGGAGAAAGTGCACAGTGACTCCTGTTGTTGATTTAACAATTGACACTCTTATTTATGATGTCAGTGATCACCTGAGGCTCTTGTCATGAGCTGCCAAGGCTATGGAAGCCTCTTGAGTCCACAAACTCTGACGTTATTTAGACAAGGCCATAATCAAAGTGGAAGTTCTCTCCTCCCTTCAGAGAAAGGTACCTCCTTCTTTGACGACCCCTTCTTTCCAGCAGGATCTCTCTCACAGAGATTTTCATGTAGGTAATTTTTTGACAGTGTCTTGGCTTTCCACTCCTGAAATGCTCTCATGGGCTTTTTAGCCATATCTAAATGCCTTAAGGGCTGATTCTGAGGCCAGAGTGCTGTTTAGGGCATTTGTCATTCTATGAGTCTGCTATGTGGCCTGCTTCCCAAGTTGGATCATACTCTCCTTTTTAATTCTATCTATTGTTATTAGCAGACACTTGGGTCTTATTTATATGATCCCTTTGACAATTATTCCTATCTTTATAATCAGTTATGCACTTAAAAAGGACATTTTAACTAGTAAGATGGCATTAGTACCTGCCAATCTAATGGGATTTGGAGTCCCATGGCAATTTTTTAGCTTTCCCCTTAGGTATAAGTTCAGGGGAATGTGTGCTGAACTATATATCTCCTCCCTCTCTTATTTCCACTCTTATTTTTTACAGGGATCAATTTTCAATTGTATTTAAACACCTAAGACTACGTCTGTGTTAAGTAAAGAGCTCAACCAATGGTATTAAGTAGAAAAAGAAAATAGTAAAAAGAATAAGATAATAAGCTGTTTCTTGACAACAGACACATAAGTAAGTTCACCTCACAATGAACCACATGGTAAAGTCATATTATACTATAAACCAAAAATATCATAACTTTACATGATAAAAACCTGCTAAAACCTCTTCTATTCAAACTGAAGGTACAATTCGAAATTATCATTTCTTAAATGAATATCAGACTCACCCTGTGTAAGACAAATCATATGAATTCTATCATCTTATCATACTTTATTTTCATTCAGACAACTTCAATCTCCCGCTACATGGGTGAACTCAGCTGTTTGTTTAGAGCACTCTCCTGGCATATTACTCATGAAAAAATCAGACACTCTAATGCTTACCTTGTCGGGACTCACTCATGGCTTTTGGAAACTGGCCACAGATGAAGTAACAAAAACCACACTGATGGGAAAAAGAATATATACTGGCAACACAATATTGTGACAACAGATTTCACCCTGATTTGAAACTGCAGGGGTGGTGTTCTGGCTTTTTTCTCTTTGTATACACACTTATCACTTCCCTTGACATTCTGTCCCCATCTACCATCCATAAATCTTCATCCAAGAAAGATAGTCTAAGTTATCCCCAAGGATCTCCATAAATGACCATCTAAGCATAGCTGGCAGTACATGAGAAATTTTATTTCAAAAATAAATATTTCCATTATGCTTCCTTAGGGGATATATAAGGTCAAGATATGTTGTAGAATTTTGCTTCACAGCACATAATTTCCCCATTTGTACCACAATTATGCCTTTTCAATGAACATATTAGAATGCTTGCCAGAATGTTCACTGCAACATTGCTTGGAGTAAAAAAAAAAAAAAAAAAAAAAAGGAAAAGCAATTCAAATGTCTAATAGCAGAGGATTTGTTGAATAAACATGGCACACTTTTCAGTGGAATATGATACAGGTATTAAAATAAGTAAAATGTTAATAAACAAATAAATCTTGAAAGTAAGAGAGATGTTAACACATTTATTAGAGTGGAAAGATTTCACATTCTTTTATTCATGTGCTATATAACACATATTACACATGTAACATATGTACAACATAATAAATTATGTGTTACAAAAAGGTGAAACATCACATTTTATAGTATATAAAATATAACATATTACTTCTTTATGACCATTTTTCTAAGACCCATGCTCTCTTGTTAAACATTCTCCTAGTATACCATATTTTCCTTTAATAGCCATTATTATAAGTGGAAAAAATGTTTAATTGCTTCATAGTTTTCTGAGTCTGTCTTCTTATCACAGTATAATCTCCTGGATGGATATGACTTTTTTTTAGACTCTGATGTATCTAGCTACACCTAATTTTGGATAAGCAGCTCAAAATCTATTTGTTGAATGAAAAAATAAATGAGTGACTGAAGTAATATGCATATAAAAATTCTGGGAAAACTATAGAAAATGTTAACAATGATTTTTCTGAAGACAGTGAAATTATAGGTGACTTTTTCCTTTATTCATTTTTATTCTCTGTATTTTCTAATTTTTAAGTGAAATATGCCAAACCCAAAAAGACAAATATCACATCTTCTCTTATTTGTGGTTGTTAATATAGAGAGCATAAAAACTTGTGGTTAGCATATCATTTGGTATATAGTTATCAATATTGCTTCACTGTGTTGCCAAGATGGCTGAATAGGGTACAGCCACACTAACATAAGCTGCTCTGGGATATGAAAACAAAGGAAGGACTATGTTTACAGGGGAGCAACTGGTGTAATTTTCAATGTAGAAGTGAAGAAAACAAACAAAAAAACCCACAATGACTCTGTGGGACAAGAGGAGAGAAGACAGAGACACCACAGCAGTGAGCCACGAGGCATAGGCAGCTGCCACTGTGAGCCGCCATCTTACCATGTCAAAGTAGGCAGAAATTGCTGTGTGCCCTCTCACTTGCAGTTTAGCAGAGAGGGAATTCCACAGTCACTCACGGACATTACTTCAGCCTGGTGAGTTGACTGGGGTCCAAGAAACTATAGGGCTTGGAGCCGGGAGCAGACTTGCTTCCTTCCCTTCCCCTACTCCTGCAGAGCACCATACTAGGCAGCCAAAAGTCAGGCAGCATACCTCTGTTCTCCTACCAGCACCATAGACAGAGTCAGGGTAGCAGGTGGGGCAAAGGACAGATCCCCTGAATATTGCAACTGTGGAAGTTTTGGGGCAGCAGCCACAGAGCTACACTCATACACTCTACATTGCCTTAGCTTCTGGGGGCTAACACTAGAAGCAACCCATTAAAAAAATCTGCTCCCACACTGGGAGATCCAGTGAATGACCCCACTACACCCTGCAATACCAGGGCTGTAACCACTTGTTCTAAATTTCTTGGTGTCACCGGAATCTACCTGCTGGACATAGGGAAGAACTTATCTGCATTCCACCTCTCTGGACTCATACCCTCCAGGGTAAAATATCCTGTATATATATCTTATAGTCACCCTGCAGGACTGGAACAGAATCCAACTCTCACCCCCTGGTCCTAGGACTAGTACTGTTGGTATTAGAAGCCACAGCACCAGTTGGACTCTCCTAGCAGGACCTGAGGAAGGGTCCATCCATATCACACAGTCCTAGAGCCACGCCACAGTAATCTGTGCCCAAGCTCCAGCATCACTCAGGCTTGCTAGTAGGAAAGTGGCAGCCACTCCTGTCTCCCTCAGCACCAAGAACAAGGCCCTGGCTATCCTATTTGCCAGGGAGACTGACACTGAACTCTGTGGAACAAATATACACACCCAAGGAACAAAGAAGATGAACCTCTAGTCAGGTTAACAAAGGAAAAAAGAGAAAAAACTCAAGCAAATAAAATTAGAAATGAAAAAGGAGGCACTACAACTGACACCACTAACATACAAAGAGTCATAAGAAACTACTATGAAGAACTAAATGTTAATAAACTAGAAAACCTAAAAAAAATAAATTCCTGAATTCGTGTAACCTACCAAAATTAAATCAAGAAGATACAGACAATCTAAACAGACCCATAACAAGCAATGAGATTGAAACAGTAATTAAAATGTCTTCCATCAAGGAGAAGTCTGGGACCTGATGGCTTTATTACTGAATTATATAAAGCATTCAAAAAGGAAGTAACTCCAATATTCTTCAAACTATTCCAAAATACTGAACAGGATGGAATTCTACCAAACTCTTTTTATGAGGCCAGCATTACTTTGATACTAAAACTAAACAAAGACACAACATGAAAATTACAGATCTACAGCCTTAATGAATATAGATGTAAAGATTCTCAACAAAATAGTAGCAAATCAAATCTAAAACCACATCAAAACGATCATATATCATGATCAAGCGGGATTTATCCCAGAAATGCAAGAGTGGTTCAATATTCACAAATGAATAAATGTCTTAAATCACATCAATAGAATGAAGAACAAAAACTATGTGGTCATCTCAATAGATGCAAAAAAAAAAAAAAGCATTTGATAAGATTCAACACCTCTTCATGATGAAAACCCTCCACAAATTAGATATAGGAGGAACATTCCTCAAAATTATAAAAGCTATTTATCACAAGCCAACAGTCCATATCATACTGACTGGGAGAAAACTGAAAGAGCATTTCCATTCAGATCTAGAACAAGACAAGGATGTCCACTTTCACCACTCTTATTCAATATAGTACTGGAAATTTTTACAAGAGCAGTCAGGGAGGAGAAAGAAATAAAGGACATCAAAATTAGAAAAGAGGAAATCAAATTATCCATGTTTGCAGATGATATGATGTTGTACATGGAAAAACCTAAACACTCCACCAAAACGCTGTTAGAATTGATAAACCAATTCAGTAAAGTTGCAGGTTATAAACATACAAAAAATACAGATTTTTGGTATGCTAAAGATGAACTCACAGAAAGAGAAATCAAGAAAGAAATCCTATTCATAATAGCCACCAAAAATCCAAATATTTAGGAATAAATTTAAGGAAAGAAGTGAAAGATGTCTACAATGAAAATTTTCAAACTTTGATGAAAGGTATCATCAAGGACACCAAAAAATGGAAAGATATTCATTACTCATGGATCAGAAGAATCAGTATCATTCAAATGTCCCTTCTACATTCTCTCCTGATTTGGCCAACATATCAGTCGAATAGTAAGGCCAACCAGCAAGCCCATCAGCTATGTGTAGCCAAGTGAGGGAACCCAGGGAAGACTAGCAAAAGAACTGCCAAGGTTAACATAGCCCAAATAGACAGATCACAGAATCATGAGCTAATGAAACTGTTGTTTTAAGCCACTATGTATGGAGGTAATCTATTACAAAGAAAAAAACACATTGTACTTTTTAGAAAAAAGGCTAAAATATTATAATTCAGAGAATCAGACATATACAAGGAATTATTTATTTATTTACTTAGACCTTCCATGTAATGATTTACAACTCAAATGTCTACAATGGCCAGGGGTAGGCCAGGTTGAAGCCAGGAGCCAGGCACTCAGTCCACGTCTTCCAAGTAAGTGACAGGAACTCAGTTACTTGAGTCATCACCTGCTGCCTCCTAGGGCACACATTAATATGAAACTGGAGTCAGGTACCAGAGCCAGGCATGGAACACAAGTACTCTAACTGTGGGATATGGGGGTCTCAACCACCAGGCTGAATACTGATCCCACATATTTTTTTAAAAAATACATATTATTGTGGAAATTTTAACCCATTAGAATTCACCCTCAGTGTTTCCATCCCCTGCAAACTCATGTCAGTCCATCACCAAGCCCCATCAACCAGATCTCTAAAGTCTACTTTGAATGTGGTGCTTTCTTTTCATCTCCTGCCACCATGATCTTTCTGGTTTCCTTGCTACCATTTCTGTTTCCTCACAGTCAATCCTCCCCTAGCTACTAGGAGATCTTCTTAAAAAGTAGGACCCTGTCATGTAAATTTCCTGATCAAAACTGGTCAAAATTCTCAGTTGCCCAAAAGTTGGACATGAGCTGTGAGGTTCCGTGTGATCTGGTTGACAATCTTCAACCTCATCCCATCCCTCTTTCTGTCATCCAGTCCTTGACCTTCATCCAGTTCCCTCGAGAAGCCAAGCTCTACTATCTGACCTTCCACAATCTCATTTCTGTCTTGAGATGCCTCCTCTAGACCTACCAGTAATCCCATCTCATTCTTCAGATGGCAACTTAAACATCAGGCAAATATACACAGTAAAGAGCACATTACAGTGAAAACAATTTTTTTTCCTGGGAGGAGAGGTTCTAGATGGCTTTTATTTCTTTTTTATACTGACATTTTCTAAATTCACTACTCAATAAAAATATATCACTTTGGTCATCAGAAAAAAAAATTTGGACATTTTCCTGGTCTACGAGGTGTTGTTACAAGTATTCTGTGAAATGAGGTACCTTCCTCCAGGAGCAGTGTCTTCCTGTTTCCAGGTGTTTTTTCATTGCCTTTTATGCTCCCCCAAATCTCCTCCTGCTCTTTCTCCAAGTCTCACTGCTCAAGTTTGACAAAATCCCAGCTCATCTCTCTAGGCTCAGCTCAATGCATCCCCTCTTGATAAAGCATCATTGTCCCAGCAGAAGAGACTTTTTGGACCACCATATTCCTAGGACTCTAGGCTTGTATCTCTAGGTTGTGTCTGAATTCATCCCTGAACAATGACTCCACCTAAAGGAAAAGAAGTATGTCCCGAGTCAGTGCCCAGTAGAGGGAAATGCTCAATCAATGTTTGCTAAGTAAATAAATGAACTCTATTATAGAGGTGAGGAAATAAAGACATGATGAGAGTCTGATAAAGTTGCACACCCATTCACTTACATTTTCTTCTTTAGTTTTGCACATTTAGCAAAGTTAAGCTATGCAATGTTTATCACATAAATCTCTTCTATACCCTATATTCTTGTATCCCACTTAGCTGAAAAAAAATACTTGGTAGGAAATGTTTTCCCTTAAGTTCTTTTTAAAATCCTGTTACCTTCTCCTTTTGACATTAGGATTACATCTAAAGAGATAATCAAAAAGAGATTTTTCCTTTTTGCGTATAAATTTTGCACCTCCATTTCCTGCCCTAACCCCTTTTCCAATTCTGTATTATTTTGAGCATGATGAGCTATTAGATCTGATCTTCCAATGATGTGGGGAAGTTTTCCTGCCCCAGGAAATGTGACCTTTTCTGCATTTCTGGGAATTCTGTCATTGACCATAATCATTATTTACACCAGATGGACTTCTGGGACTGGACTTATTAACCACCAGTGATCTAAATTCAGTCACTAACACTTTTCTTGGAAGCATCTCACTGTTGCCCTGAAGTTCGTCACTGTCAGATGCATTTTTAGTTGGCCATAATGATGCTTTTTTCAGCACCCATTTCTTCCCAATTTCATTTTCTTGAGATTTTTTTTCTTATCTGGCATTGTTTAATCATTAAAAGTATATATTTCTGTATCCATTCTTGGCCTTTTTCTAATATTGACATCTTTTCTTGCATTTGAATTTTCAATTCATTTCCTAACTCTGGTGTTTTATTCTCAAACAACTATTTCAATACTTCCTGTTCTATGTACAAATAATTCCTTCCTTCCTTCCTTCCCTCCTTCCTTCCTTCCCTCCTTCCTTCCTTCCCTCCCTCCCTCCCTTCCTTCTTTCCTTTTGATGACTGCTCTTCTGTAGAAAGAAATTAATTTGTAGATTTTTTTCACATTTATTTTAAATCTGTAACTAAGTAATCTCATTTTTTGTCTAAGGCTCATTGTAAGATAGATGCTGCTCCTTATTTTTCCACACTGAGGGTGTAGAACAAGACATTTCTAATTTTGTGATTTGAATGAAAGCATTTCTTGATTTACTCCATCCCTTTCTCTTTGTTGAGAAACAACTGAGGGTAATTTGAATGGAGTTGGTCCCACTGATGCTCAGAGGTCCATCTCTACTTTCATTTACACCTGGGAACTTAGCTGACAAAAGCTGATAGACAGGAATTTTCACCCTAATGCTTGATATGACTATTATCACAGCTTATTCGTTAAGTTCCTTATAGTACATATTTCTTGTGAAAGCATTCCAGATTATTATTTCTTCCTAGAGATTTTTATTTCTTTGGCCTTTCCATCAAGCCCAGCCATGTTTGTGCTTGTTCCAAGTCAGTTTCAGCTACACATGTTGTACTGTCCACTAGGGCACTCAGTGTTAATCTGTTCTTGACTGACAAGCCCTGCAAAAGCCTTGGTCCTAGACTTGTCTTTGATTTTTGAAGCATATCCATGATCGAATGAATCCATTATTTCTGATAGTCTGCGTGCTTGGGGCAGCTGTTGTGGTGCAATGGGTTAAGCTGCCCTCTCCAACACTGGCATGCCATATGAGTGCTGGTTCACATCCTGGCTGCCCCACTTCTGATCCAGGTTATTGCTAATAACCCGGGAAAGTAGTGGAAGACGGCCCAAATGCTTAGATCCCTGCCACCTACGTGCAAGACTCAGATGGAGTTCCAAGCTCCTGGCATCAGCCTGGTCCAGCCCCAGCCTTTGTGGTCTTTTGGGAAATAAACCAGTGGATGGAAGATCTCTCCCTCTCCCTCTCTGTACATCCATCTCTCTCTCTCTGTAACTCTGTTTTTCAAATAAATAAATCTTTAAAAAAAATTGATCTGGGTGCTTGTTATTCCTATATCAATAACATAGTTTCCAGGAGATGAAAAACATTTTTTTATTATTTTCTTCTGTTATCACCACAGCTTATTCACCTCCAAAAACAACTACTGAGCTTAATGTCTTGGGCAGCTTGGCACTTACAAATATAAATCTTTTCCCCTTGAAGATTTGTTTTCTTTCCTATTATCCAGGTAGATCCGCGTTTTCACTCCCACTAGCTAGCTCATCAATAGGTAAATAACAACTTTCAGTTTGTAAAGGGTATTCTTTGGACAGGAACTGCTTTGAGAACATCAGTTAAACACTCCGGCTTTACAACAGGGCGTCCACAATTGAGTCAACATGCTGTTTTCATGATCACTTTAAGGGATACCTTGGCAAGGTGAGTGCACTCTTCTGTCCAGCTGCTTGCAGGAAGTCCTCCAGGTTGCCACAGCCTTAATTTTGAGTTTTCCCAGGAACATCTAAATCAGACAAGCAAGCAACCACAGGCTTATACTCCATTCTGAGTGTGCTTCCACATACTCCAAAGTGAACGCTACCCTGTGGCTTCCAAGTTCAGGAAGGCCTGTTCTGCCTTTCTCAGTTCATCAACCAAGGGACCAAGCTTCAAATTATCTTTTCCTTCCAATGTGTGGATTTCATCTGTTTGACTCACATTGGTTACCAAGAAGTTCACAGTTAACCCAGCATGATGTCAAATGATTGATCATGTTCAGTTAAAAGGGCAGTTTGTCCTTCCCTGTCGCTCCCCCTCTTCGTGGAGGAACGACACTGAACCCTGCGCTGTTCTTTCGTCTGCTCGGCCCTCCCCGGGTTTGCTGCTGGTTCTTCCCGGGTTGGCTACTATCCCTTCCACCTCCGTGGAAGGGCAGTTCCCCCTGGCCGCATTCCCCACTTCCGCAGGGGAGCGGCACACCGCCGGCCGGTTCTCTCGGGGGCTGCACGGGTTCCCTTAGATGTTCCCCATAGATGTTCCCCGGTGCATGCCGTCTCTCTCCTCCTTTATAGTCCTCCTCCGCCAATCCCAACTCGGCTGCCCACACGCCGAGTACGCTGCTCTCCTCCAATCAGGAGCAAGTCCTACAGTTAATTGGTTGAACTGGAGGCAGCTGTGCGGAAGCTGTTTACTTCTCTCCCAGCGCCATATTGTGGGAGAGCAGATGCATAGAATAAGTCTTAATTCCAGTAACAGTCTAGTCCGGTTTGCTCCCCACACTTCCCCACCTTGTCCTCAACACCAGTCAAAAGTCTATACAGTTCTCTTCAGAGACCATCTAGGCCAGAGCTGGTCCCAACTAGGGAAAATCTGGCAATAGCCATGGCTGGGTATCAGCAGCCACCCTGCCACGCTGACTCCACTAATCCCGGCTAAAGTCTGCTTTGAAACCACCATGGAAGCAGGTGAAGATATTTTCTTTTTAGTGTGAGAAATAAGTCCATACAACAAGCAAACTGTTCTCACAGGAAAAGAAAAGAATTAAAAATAAATTGAAAACACAAAGGACTCAATTTACGGATGGTGAGTAGGGGCGGGGCCAGCAGCCCAACTTTCTGATCCGAGCTCTGTGCTTTTCTACAGCACGATGCTCTTATGAAACATGAGTCTTTGGATCCGTGATGATTGGCAGGGGTCTCTGTATCCCTGTTTACTGTTTAGGTGACTTCCGTCTTCACTGAGAGCCGCATGTTTTCCCCTTGATATGTGGCTACAGACCCAGCCATGAAACCCATGGCTTCCATCCAATGAGCCCCCTCAGTTACCGCAATTGCACAACGTGGCCAATGCAATGGTAAACAAAACGGCTTAAAACCCAGAACGTGGATTCAGAACTTACAGCCACGGGAAGCTCTCAGACACTTCCCCCTGACAGAGTTCTGAGCATACAGCGCAGCGCGTTTGTCCCGTGGCCACGGGGCTCCCAGAAGGCAGCAGGCTGAATGACTTGGCAGTACTCCCTGGGGCCGTGCTCATTCCTGGTGGCACCGGGCAGGGTGCCAGGCATCACCCTCTGCATGCGAGACAGCAGGGCAAGGTGCCCGAGGCTAAGAAACAAAAACATCTGGCGGAGTCACTGAGTTGTTGGTTGCCTGAGTTCTCTCGCAGTGAACGCTGGGGGAACTGAATTGCGTTTCCAGGATGTATTCCCGTCCCTGTCCTTGGGAGGGACACTGAAGGCTTGAGAACCCAAGCCAAAGGGTCAGCCAACATGGAAACAAATGCAGAAGCTTCCCCATCACCATCAGCAAGTGGACAAGGGTGGGGAACTGACTCTAACAGGATCCAGGCGCAGGCTTGAGGCATCTTAAGATGGCAGCCAAGCCACTGGTGGAAATGTAAAGAAACAAATCTGTCATGATCTTTTCCCTAATTTTGCTTTCTTGATAAGACACCCACTAACAGCTTGATTAATTATTTTTCATAGAAAATACTGGTTCTGGAGGTGGGGATTTTCCTATTTTGGTGGTTTTTGTGGACTGATAATAACTCAGGGACAGCCTGCCCTAAAAGGTCATCTCGGCCGGCTCCGCGGCTCACTAGGCTGATCCTCCACCTTGCGGCGCTGGCACACCAGGTTCTAGTCCCGGTCGGGGCGCCGGGTTCTGTCCCGGTTGCCCCTCTTCCAGGCCAGCTCTCTGCTGTGGCCAGGGAGTGCAGTGGAGGATGGCCCAAGTACTTGGGCCCTGCACCCCATGGGAGACCAGGATAAGTACCTGGCTCCTGCCATCAGATCAGCGCGGTGTGCTGGCCACAGTGCTCCAGCTGCAGCGGCCATTGGAGGATGAACCAACGGCAAAGGAAGACCTTTCTCTCTGTCTCTCTCTCTCACTGTCCACTCTGCCTGTCAAAAAATAAATTAATAAATAAATTAATTAATTTTTAAAAAAAGGTCATCTCCCTCTGGTGCCTGGTCTCTTAGAGTGGCTGTGATTTTCTAATGAGTCACTCCTCTCCTGTCTGATACAGTCAGCAAGCTATAGGCAGGGGGTAGCCAGGCAGAGCCACTGTTAGCTAAAGCAAATTAGCTCACCTTGCTGGAAGGAATTTAAAGTTCAGAATCCAAGTCCTCACTGGAGAGTCATCCGAAGGCATTTGTCATTCGATGCACTGTTTTATCTCTTAAATCAGAATGTATATATATTTCACATGATGCCACACCTATAGCATGTTCCATGACAATAATGCAATTTGGAGGATAAAAGCTAGATGACCAATTTATTTCCCAAAGAGCCTATTTGCCAAGCAGCCACAAATAAATATATGCTGGCTTTTCCTGAGTGGTTTCCTTTGCATTGGCAAACCTAAAATTGCTCATTCACTAAATCAAAATCCTTAAATGTCCACTATACATTGGGTACCATGCCAGGCCCTGGAGCCACATCATGCTGAATGAGATGACACTTCCCCTCAGGAGACAATGGGTTCAGCGAGGGATTCTTCACCCATCAGATCAGCAAGCACCAAACGTGGAAACCAAATAGAGGCTCTGGATTGGTCAGATCTACAGCTAAGAGAGCAGCATAGCCCTGTTGGCTTTCAAGTAACCATTTGCTCAGGGAATTCAGGGAAAACACAGATTCAATTATATGCACCTTTCGTTGTTTTTTCTATTTTAAATCACTCACCTTAAATCAGGCTATAGATATGTTGAGGGTAAAATACTTACTCAGGGGTTGGCATTTGGTCTAGCAGTGAAGCCACCAGCTGGGATGCCTGTGTGTGTTCCATATCTGAGTGTCTGTGTTCAAGTTCTGGCTCTGCTCTTTCTTCCAGCTTTTGGATAATGCACATTCCAGGAGGTGGTAGGTGGCCATTTAAGTAGTTATGTCTCTGCCACTCCTGTGGGACACTCAGATTGAGTTCTCAGCTTCTGGCTTTGGCTTGGACCAGTCCTGGTCATTGTGGACATTCAAGGAGTGAAGTAGAGAATATGAACTCTCTCTTTCTCTCTTCATTTTTATCTCTGTTTCTGAAATAAATAAATTTAAACAATTAACAAATGGCTAGCTATCAAAATGCAAAAGCAGAGTTTTATTTATTGGGTAATTGAAAGTCATAAAGCTCTTTAAAGGAAGAATACCATATGTAGATAGTTCATGAGCCCAGAAATGAAAACCAGAACATAAGCCTGGAGTAGGTTGTAGCTCGTGTGACTGGTTGTGGTTGCTGTAACTATAGCACTAAAACTGTGCTGTACAATTGTGATAACAAAAGATGCAAATCATTAGGTCAATGTAACGTGTATTTTAACTACTGCCCAGCTCAACATCCTTGGTAAAATCTCTATATTATACCACTTGGCAAATTTTCTTCCCTTGCATTTTTATTTGTTTAATTCAGAACCTATTTTCTGGGCCCGGCACTGTGACGTAGCGGGTAAAGCCATCGCCTGTAGTGCCAGCATCCCATATGGGCACCGATTCAAGTCCCAGCTGCTCCACTTCCTATCCAGCTCTTTGCTATGGCCTGGGAATGCAGCAGAAGATGACCCCTGCACTTGGGCCCCTGCACCCAGGTGGGAGACCCAGAGGAAGCTCCTGGCTCCTGGCTTCAGATCAGTGCAACTCCAGCTGTTGTGGCCAATTGGGGAGTGAACCAGTGGATGGAAGACCTCTCTCTCTCTGCCTCTCCTCTCTGTGTAACTTTCTCTCTGACTTTCAAATAAATAAACCTTTAAAAAAAAAAAAAAGAACCTATTTTCCAAATGGGCATTTTGCTGTATGGTTTGGTTCACTAGCATGAGAAGATGGTAGAAGTCTTCCTGAAAATTTCTGTGTCGTCCCTGGAGACATTGCCCTCACAGGAAGCAAGCTGTTAGGTTAAGAAAACATATAGGCCAAACATACAATGACATCAAGCTTCCTTCCCTGACGCCAGCCGGGTGTTTGATGTGGTGACATCCTGAAGCCATGTGATGCCAGTCTCAGTTGTATGATTCACATGGCTAACCTTTGGAAATGCTGAACATAAATGAATGACCCTCAGTTCTACCCAGCTGTACAAGAAACACTGTTTGTAAATAGTCTGTTCCCTGTTGTAGTGCTGTGACTGAAAGAAATCCTGTAGCTACCCAGCAATTTAGGCAGTGAGTTCAAGAGTTCATTAAACAACTGGTGTCAAATTTGCAAATGGCTCTAGCTCAGCTTTCTTTTGCTGCTAATGAACCTAATCCACATTCATCCTCAAGGCCCATTATCCCCAAATATCTGCCTAACAGAAATGAATCAGAAGCAACAACTTCAAGGACTGGAGGCCAACCAAGCTCCCTTGGTGTTAGCACCTCATCAAAAGACAGGAGAAACTGCTCAAATCCATAATAATTACATTATTTGAATTTTTATACTCCTTTGATCATGCCACTATGCAGGGTTTCAGGAAAGATGGAGCAGGCCTGTCCTGAAAGCATTTATTGTCTTTTCAGAATAAAACATGAGGAATGCTATGTTGTTTTAATGCTGATGAGATTTCCATGACATCTACTCATTCAGAAAAGTCAAATGATAGCATTTGCTTTGAAAATCATATCCTGATAAAGAACCATGGGAAGCCGGCGCCACGGCTCACTAGGCTAATCCTCCACCTTGCGGCGCCGGAAAACCAGGTTCTAGTCCCGGTTGGGGCGCCGGATTCTGTCCCGGTTGCCCCTCTTCCAGGCCAGCTCTCTGCTGTGGCCAGGGAGTGCAGTGGAGGATGGCCCAAGTACTTGGGCCCTGCACCCCATGGGAGACCAGGAGAAGCACCTGGCTCCTGCCATCGGATCAGCGCGGTGCGCCAGCTGCGCAGCGGCCATTGGAGGGTGAACCAACAGCAAAAGGAAGACCTTTCTCTCTGTCTCTCTCACTGTCCACTCTGTCTGTCAAAAAATAAAAAAAAAGAACCATGGGATACAAATAGTTCTGAAGATATCTATTCTAAATTTCAACTTCAGTACAATAGAAAAATCCATAGATATCCACCATGCAACATTCAATACTGTTCAACGAGCCTCAGGGGGTGGTGGCAGGGGTCCAAAGTTTATAGCCATATTTCTGAGCCTCATTCACAGTTTAATTCTTTTATTAAGACTTCTAGTCATAACTCCAGAACAGGCAAGAAAGTGAATAATTTACCCAAGTCATATCTTTATTGTGTTTTCCTTTCAACACATCTATCATTCTCTAACATCTAATCAGCTTGATCCTTAACTTTCTCTACTTTGATATGCCTCTAATATGCAGGCATATTAATAAGTATCCATTTTAAGCATATACCAATTGCAGATGTGACACCACAACTGTGAATCAAAATAGCCACTGACAGGGCCAGCACTGTGGCATAGCAGTAAAGCCGCTGCCTGCAATGCCAGCATCCCATATGGGCACTGGTTCCAGTCCCAGTTGCTTCACTCCCGATCCAGCTCCCTGCTATGTGCCTGGGAAAGAAACAAGATGGCCCAAGTGCTTGGGCCCCTGCACCCCTGTGGGAGAACCAGAGGAAGATCCTGGCTTCGAATTGGCCCAGCTCCATCCATTGTGGCCACTGAAGGAGTGAACCAACTGATGGAAGGCCTCTCTCTCTCTCTCTCTCTGTGTGTCTGTGTGTGTGTCCCTCTCTCTCCAACTCTGCCTTTCAAATAAATAAATGAATTTTTTAAAGATTTTATTTATTTATTTGACAGGTAGAGTTACAGACAATGAGAGAGACAGAGAGAAAGGTCTTCCTTCAGTTGCTTCACACCCCAAATGGCTGCAATGGCCAGAGCTGCACGGATCCAAAGCCAGGAGCCAGGTGCTTCTTTCTGGTCTCCCATGTGGGTGCAGGGGCCCAAGTACTTGGGCCATCTTCTACTGCTTTCCCAGACCACAGCAGAGAGCTGGACTGGAAGAGGAGCAACCAGGACTAGAACTGGTGCCCATATGGGATGCCAGCACCGCAGGCGGAGGATTAACCTAGTGCACCATGGCACCGGCCCCAATAAATGAATCTTTAAAAAAAATAGCCACTGACATCACTGGCTGCTTCCTCTAGGTCAGCCGCTGAATCTGATGCTCTGTGGACCAGATCTTTTAACTTCATACCAGCCATGTTATTTTTTAGGCATACTGTTGTTTGACACATCATATTAGGTTATTATCCTATCATTATCCTAATCTCTCAGATGCTTAGAGATTTTAATAAGCTCTTCACAGCCAGTCAGCAAGAAAATAGCAGAGTTGGGAGCTGGGATGCAGTTTAAGGGACTGTGAGATGGCCACACATTCATGGCCTGCCCTCTATGAACTCTTTTATCACCTTCACACCTTTTCTCATGAAAATAATCCTGTGTTACTCTGTTGACTTTGTTTCACCTTGGCTCAGTGATTGGGATGTGGTAGAAAAAAAGACTGATTGCTCCTTTGACAGATGACCCTTTAAGAGCAGCAGAGTTGAGTTGATGCTGTTGTCATGACAACTGACTACAATTTCCTGATAGTTAAGAAACTGCGAGGGAGGGAGGAAGAGAGAGAGAACTAGAAAGAGAGAGAGATCCTCTCTGGCCAACAGGCTTGTTTAAATGGAGTAAAACATTTTCAAGTCACAAAAGGGTAGCTATGTCCTAATCACAGACCCTATGTGCTATAGCTTGCATATTTTAATGTATTCTGAATTGGATTATGTCACCAAATAGAGATAAGCTGTCAAGATAACCTGGAAAATAAAAATCAGCTTGACTGAATTTTGAATGGCTATATTTATTGTTTCTATAAAAAAAGATAGCAGAACCTAAAAATAAAATAAATGACATTCATAAGTATGAAAATGATGCTAAAGTGAGACACTTGGGTGAAAGTTAGTTCATTTGTTTAGGGGAAGAAGATTTTGAGAGAATCTTATAGTCTCGACTCTTCCATTACCAGTAATAAAAATACAACCTGAACTGACCTAAGGAAAAAAAAAAGAAGGCTTAACTGGCTCACGTAACTGAACAATCTAGGAGGTAAACATGGCTTAAAAGAAGCAGGTGCTCTGATGTCAGCCTCGGGAGTCTCCTTTTCACCTCCCAGGTTTGTTCTCCTTCATGTTGCCTCCTCCTCAGATTGTTTCTCTATGGTCGTCCAGATGATCCCTCCCAATCCCAGGCTTATATCTCATCAGCTTAACATTGACAACAGAAAGAAAATTCTACCTCTGGAGTAACTTTAGAGAAATTCCCAGGGCAATCACCCATAGACTCACTTAGAGCCACAGGTGCATCCCAGATCCACCAATCACTGTGAGAGAGGTGGGTGCTCTCTGACTCTGAGTCTGGTCCAAAAGTCCCCTTCCCAGGGGAGGGGAAGGGAGAGGCACTAAAAGCAAATCTGGCTGCTGTTACGAAAAGAAGGAAGTCACAAGGCTTTGAAGGCAAAAACACATATTTCAGGATAGCGAAGAAAATTGTACTGCAGGACTAATTCCAATTCTGGCAGATACAGGATTTTACTCCTTTGATAACCTGCAAGTTCTAAGTCGTCTGAGTCTCGCTGTGAGCAGGTCACACAGCATAACCACTCTGCAGCATTAGGGGTGGAGGTGACAGGAACGGCCCCTCCTCCGTCCACCCTTAGCATCTCTGCCACCAGCACCTGCAAACCCACCATTACAGTCTCATTCCTTTGGGTCTTCAGACTCTCTCAGATTTTAAAAATCTTATATTCCAATACAAGTGTCTCCGCAAAGAAGCTGTAACTTCAACTTTCATTGACTGTCTGAGACATTGAAACGGGGTAAGAAAGGGGATGAAAGACACTGAAATGTGCTGAGGAGAAAATGTGCCAACCACAAGTTCACCTGGTGCTGACCTGGGCAACCGCACTTGTATGTGACGGCTCAGGATTTTCATCATCATAAATAGTACAAAAGTGATGCACATTCATTTTTAGGAAATAGATACAGATGAATTTTACTGGTATAAAAATAAACTCTTCCTCCCCAAAATCCATAATCACAGTCTAAACATGAGAGAAATAT